TAGATATTTGTTGTTACTTTATTAACGTTTTTACGCTTATACTGTGAGGTAAAACCGGCTGCTGCTATAATTTTGTCTGGTTTATGAGCTCGTTGCTGTCCTAATTTAGGATCTTCTTTTTAATAAATTCTTGAAAATGTTAAAAAAGAGAGAAAGAAAGGGGGCCTGGCAAGGATGTTTGCCCCGGGGCCAATGCTGGCTTTTAACATTCCTGTTGACATGCTTGAAGTTGGTGCCCTTCAGCAGCAGTCATCTCACTTGGTGTTTTTTTTAAAGTTTAATCAGTAAGGTTATTACTTTAAGCAAAAAAATACAAAGATGCCTGAACAATATTGATTTATATGACAGGAGATGCTTTTAGTGCATGATAAAGACCAGTGAAGTTTGTATATTAACAAATAAGTCCAAATTCTGCATGTCCATTTGGTGATAATTTAGGAGAATATTATATAGAAGAATGCATTTCCCAACAAGCTGCTTTTAAGAGTGGTTCAGTCGTAATGTGTACTGGCTTTAAGTAGCTTGGCTCTGTGAACATGTAGACCATCCAAGGATGTACAATGTACAAAAGCATAGGGACAAAATACTGAAATCTATTGTGAAGCTATTCATGGTTGTAGTTTAGTCAATTTTTTCATACTAAAGGATGATAATGCAAGACTTCACAATGTGCAACGAGGACACTGGAATTATTCAAAATGAAGTGTAATGCACACATAAAGAAGTCAGCAAGCTCACTAAACTTAAACCCAATTGAAAACAGCTGGAACTGCTTCAGATACAGTAGTATGTGCAACTATGCAACCTCTGAGAATCTCAGGCTGTGTTCTTGGAAGAATAGCAGCTTCTTTCTTAATATGCATTTGAAGTTGTAATTCACAGTATGTTAGATTGATGCCAACATGAAATCCAATGTAACACAACAGTGGCTATTGAAACTGAAAGAATGGTGTTGCCACTGCAGATTATATGCTCAAGTGATACCATAGTGTGCGACCAGGAACTTCAGTATCTGTTACAACGGATTTTCAGTAGAACATTAAGAATTGTTAGAGATGAGCTGGATATCTTGTCCATGTTTGGAAGGAACATTATTTTTGAGATCGTTAAATTCTGTGAAGGAATGTGTATATGTACCAATTGAATAAAATTGTATAAAAAGAGCAGAAAAGAAAGTTACACAAAGAAAAGAAAGTGGATTACTACAGCAAAACTACATTATAAGTGATAAACTAATATGAGATTGACTACTGAGAAAAAATAAATTTACATTTTTATTTTGTTACTGACAGTTTTAAATATCACATTACTAAATATCTTAAGCTTCTGTACTATCCCTATTTTTATGTAACCTTTTTTTTCACTACTGGTTTTAATACAATGTATGACAGACATTCAACATAGCTTATTTGTTTTAAATAAATTATGATACTAAACTTTTGTATTAATTCTGGCAGATTATTATATGGTTGTTCTGAAAACTGAAGTTGAAACTTTCTACCAGAATGACATGGAATAAACATGCCAGGTCAGATACCCCTTGGATTCAGATATAGTCGTTCATAATTTTTAACTACTGGCCAAAGAGAGGGTAACCAGCCAGTAGTACTCACTGTCACAAGTGCTTTGTTCATCTTTTTGAACTGAATAATGGAATTGAATGTCACTTTTAAAATTGAGCTGAAAGTGTAGAGCATGCTCAGTGGCATCAAGGGTCTAATCTTTTTTTAGGTGTGTCACGTGGAAGACCTAAATCCTAATCATGTGTTCTAACTACCAGTCTAAATTCAATTACAAGGTTTTAATTCAAAGTTGAAATATGTTTCAGACTTAACATATAGTAAAACAACATGTTATATGGATAATGACATGAATAGGTAACAACATAAGCTAAAACTGATGGCAAAATTGATGATTCCTTCTGTTGAGTAGTTATATGAGTGAGTAATATCAAGAGACAGAAGCAGAGTAATATAAAATAATTAATATAGTTGAGCATTACTTTAAAAATTATGGTAAAGTCATACTGGTGTGTCACGTTTAACAATGTCAAAGCAATGACTTAGTAATGAATGTTACAATCTATGAATTACATAAGAAATAGCATAGACATTTAAAGATAATGATTCTGCTAAATCATTCAACTATACACATTTCATCAGTTGCATTACAGTTGTTTTATTACCACCACATACTATTTCATGTATTAGTTTAGTACATGTAAAAGCAGCATATCAGCTTACCAATGGCCCAGCATCTCCTTTTTCACCCTTTGGACCCTAAAAAAAAAAGCAAAAAAAAATTTACCACATGGTGTAAAGAGCTTCTGATGAAATTTTATAAAAAGTATAAATAGTTTTTCTTATAAGTACACAATACTGTATATAAATGCGTTCTTATACCAGTTTATGAAAATATATATACACTTTTTAATTGCACTTATTTATATAGCTTAATATTGTTGTTTCAAGTTAGTTACAGAGATAAGGATATACACACAAACACACACACACACATATGAAGTTAATAAACATTTTCAGACCTATTAAAAGTAGAATTAAAATAATTATATATGACACAGAACAATAAATGGGTAGGATAAGGTACACAACAATATATACTTTTTTGTATAGAAAGAAGACACAGTATAGGAAGCCACAAATAATATATATTTCATACACAGTGAACATAAAATATGTTTTCACCCCTTTCAAAACTTTACTGACAAACTTTAAACCATCTTTTAGGGCAGCTATAAGATCAACTGAATACATATTAGACATACTTAAAAGAGAGTTAAAAGCTGGTCAGTAAAATGTTGAATTTAGTGAAAATCAATTTTATATGTATTATTAAAACATATCACTGTTTAGTAGAGACAAATAAAAGTCAGGATATAATTAAAGCAACACACAAAACCAGTGAACTGGAAGTGGTTAAGAACAACAAATTCATTTATTAGAGAAAACAATGACTATGCTACCATTAAAGACAACCAAAAAGTACTATAGAATTATATGAATTCAAAGAACATCAAGAACGTCTTAATATATGAATTCATATCCATTCGTGTTTGTTGTTAATCTTTGCATTTCTTTTTCTTTACTTAAAAGATTAATATGTGATACGATGATTCAAACTATGTAGTAATAGATATGCTCAATAAACAGCGGTAATAAAGTTTTCAGGGTAGATAAAAGGCTTATTGCATTCAAAAGGAATTTAGTATAAGCTGAAAATAGCATAGGCTATTTTGAAAACAAAGCATGCACATTACTTCAACCTAAATGTAGCAAATATCAAAGAGGTAAATATAAAAAAAACAGCTGACAGTGGGAATAATGAAAATCAATATTTTAACAACTTAATATAATCGTGGTGTATTTATATCTCTAAGAAGCAATGTTTACAATATCCTGGTAGAGAATTTCGACTGGATTACCATGATGTTAGGAAAACATATAGGTTCAAGAAATCAATTTAACTCAAAAATACAATATCCTATAACCCGAGTGCTTTCGAAAGGTGGATCTTTCTTCTTCAGGAGCAAACTAGGAATTACCATTATCTTTTTACACAGTCATTCCTAATTTGCCCCTGAAAAAGAAAGATCCACCTTTTGAAAGTGCTTGGGTTATAGGATATCATATTTTTACTGGATTACTATAGTAGTGGTATTTTAACTGGATGCTGGGGTAGTAGTAACATATTAAACTTTGCCAGGATCAATGGCTTTCAAAATAGAATAAAGAGTTATAGGGTGAGGTTTAGAAATCTACAAGGAAGGTGTTCAGGTACATCATTACAGAGAAAAAAAACATGCAGAGCTATTAGGTTACACATGCATATATGACAGTCAACTACATAAATCAAAGGAGTCACAGCTATGAGACTGAATAGCATGAGGTAGCCACAACGTTTTGATAATGAAAAATAATTAATTCATAATTACCGATAAGCCAGGGATGCCGTCAGTCCCCTAATGAAAACAAATGTGAAGGGAGAGATCAGCAACACTTCACAGATTGTCAGGAGAAAAATATCACATATGTGAACTAAGCCCAAGTTTTCTGGACACAACGTGGCATCTCAGTATACTTTAAAAAGATGCTTTAACAAGTGCTATTATTCATGATTTACGATGATCTCAAAATTATTGACAAATTTCTTGAGAAAAAGTAAACTTCAATTTTTACAAAAGATAGTTAATTCTCTCAAAGATTAAGAAGGCTATTCAAAATAGGTATCACTTAGTTTGAAACTGTGTGACAGCTTCAATGTATCATTTTAGTTTTCATTTACAGTTCTTGAAATAAAAACAACATTAGTAAAATAATACAATTGTTTAAGAGATAAAGAGTCTAGATAAATGTTAACAGTGTGTTCATTTGGATGGAGGAAATTAAATCTTGAAGGAGTATCAACATACCGGAAGCCCTGTTTCACCTTTTACACCCTTCTCACCTTGCTCCCCTTGCTCACCCTGGGTTAGAGACAATGATGATGTATGCATGAAATAAGTATGAGTGATAAATTTCTGATGTTTATTCAAATATGTGTAAAAATATTGATCTTTTACTACACGTTGACATTTTTTCTTCAGAAAATGTGTGACTATCAACAACTTAAATGATTAGAATTATTTTTTGAAGAAGCAAAGATATAAAATTTTTCATCATTAGAATACAATTATATTCACATATATTTTCACTGATAATTTTTATCTACCAAAGTGTATAATCTAGGAGGAAAAAAAAATATATATATATAACTAATTTTTAAGTTATATTAATGATTTTCAAAATATACTGCAATTTCATTATGAGTTTTTGTCATAAGAATGTATGAGAAAACTTGTTACTAGTTTTTGTGACATGTATCTTCTGTGCGTTCAGTTTATACATTTAGTTTACAATACATGTAAGTTTGAAATTTACAAGAATCACATTGTGGCTTTCTCCTCACCTTCATGCCATCAAGCCCTGGAGGTCCCTGGAGTAGAGACAAGAAATAAAAAAAGAAGTTACAAAATTGCTAGCCTAAAACTAACGTAAAATTATAAAATCATAAGCTGATGAAACAGAAATAGATATACAAGCAGGCAACCCCATGCACGTTGATAAAGCAAAAAGCAAATTCACCATATAACAACACATGATGCTTACTGGCAAAGCAAACTGTATAACAAGCAAACAGACGAAGCGCCACTGAGTTAAAGCAACGAATCTGTCATTGTTTTTGTATAGTGATAGTTGTTCCCACCACCACTTGTAATTGTTGTCACAATTAGACAACAAATACTTGTATTTGAAATAACTCCTTAGTAAAAGCTGTTGCTAATGTTTCAGAAAAATTAACTGATAGATGTTCATGAGGTTAGTCCTAGTTGTTCCTGAGTTATAAGGAGCTTGAAGAAGATGTTAAAGTAGCATAAGCTCTTGCCACGATGATTGACCCAAGTGTTCCAGACCAGACTTGTGATGATTCCAGTCTGAAAAACTAACAGGAGTAATGAAACAACCAACATTTAAAATAATCTATCCATACATATTCTTATTAATTATAGACAAAATAATTAAGATACAATAAACTCAAACAGAAGAGGTTCCTGCTTCCAAGATACTTTTACTTAAATCATACATTCACTGGACAATTTTATTTTACAATTTGTTAAACTATTTTATTTCTTCATTGTATAAAAATATGCTCATCAAATACAGTTTTAATTATACTGAAATAATTTAACAAATGATGAAGTACAGTTGGTTATGTCTAAGAATTTTAAATTTGATGAAACAAGAATTTTAATGAAAACAGATTAGTAATTGATAGAAAAATTAAAAAGATGATTTTTTCAAATGTATCTACCAACAGTTGTAAACATATTAAATTTAATGGACTTTATTAAATTATTCACTTCTTCTTAAAAAAAGAGTGAAACATGAACATCTTACTTTCCTACCATTTCTCCAGGAATCCCATCAACTCCTGGAAACCCAGAAATGCCTCGAGGTCCCATGGGACCCTATAAAGAACAAATGCAAACAAATATACATAAGCGATAATTATGTGAGGCCACCTGCTTATTATATTGTTTTAAGTATGCCCAACTTTTTTTTTTTGTTCATTTAAAAGCACTGTTGAAATTGAGGGAATGCATGTATTTCAATGTTGATAAAGTAATTTTTCTTAGATTTTACAATGGTTCATTTGCAGAATAATATAATGATGATTCATTAATGAATTATACAAACATATACTCAAAAAAAAACAAACAGGAAGCTGGTGATGTTTCTGCTAGTGGTTTATATATGTGTAGCTACTATGTATTAGGTCATAAAGAAATTAATGTCCCATTTTGGAACACTTTCATTAACAACCACCCAAAAAACGTACATTACGTATAATAGTTCAAGGAACCACCTAAACTTCATGTTAGTGTATCCTATATAATGTGTAAAATTTAGTATACTCTAATCCCTTTAGTGATGACACGCATTTGGCAGGTAATGCTGTATAGATACAAGAAGGGAAACAATGTCTCTGTAGCCACAAAGAATATCAAAAAAGTTTATGAAAATGTTTTGTACGTTCATAAGTGTCAATGATGGTTCAGCAAATTTCGTTCAGGTAACTTTAGCCTTAAAAACTGTGATGGCAGGTGCCGACATGTTGAAATTGATATTGATGCTTGTTGAGTCTAACCCAAGGCAACACACTAGTGCAATGGTCCTGAAATTGCATGTCTCTTATGAAACAATACGTAAACATCTAAGGAATTTGGAAAACTCCATAAAGAAGGTGTTTTGGTGCCCCACAAACTCTCCGATGATCATCATTTCCAACATGTGAACATTGCTTCATCTCTTTTGGTGCATAATGCACGTGAACCATTTTTGGATAGAATTGTCACTGGTGATGAAAAATAGATTCTCTATGCGAATCTACTGAATGATAAAAACAATGGCTCAGTCCTAGACAAAAACCACTTCTGACCCCAAAATCTGGACTCCATACATAGAAAAAAATGATACTTTGCACTTAGACATCAAAGGAGTAATTTATTTCGAACTCCTCAATCCACAGCGAACTGTCAATGCAGAGATCTATAATCAGCAACTGGAACATTTAAATCAAGCCCTTCATCAGAAACACCCTTCACTCATCAATCAGAAAGGTGTTCTTCTTCTCCATGACAATGCACGTCCACATGTAGGACGTTTGATGCAACACAAGATTTTGGAGTTGGGTTGGGAAGTTCTCCCCCACCCACCATATTCTCCAGATATGGCTACATCAGATTACTATCTTTTTCATTCGCTGCAACACCATCTTAATGGGAAAATGTATGCAAATGTGGAAAGTGTTAAAGAGGACATCAACATGTTTTTTGCTTTAAAGTCAAGTGATTTCTTGATTCAGAGCATTAAGAACCTGATTGTGAGATGGAAAAGCATCATCAATAAGAATGGAGACTATTTCATTTAATAAATATTTTGTTTTGATATATAAATTGTTCGGGTTTTTATCTAAAAAAAGCTATACTAATTTTTTGACAACCTAATATTTTGCTTATTTTCTATGATCAAGCCATTAGTTAACCTTCTTTTTTTGACATTTATATGTTTAACTTTTATCTTGGTAGCTTTTTTAATACTTTTCTCCTTGCCTGCTTTAGATAGTTTTTAACCTATATTTACCAATTCAGTTCTGCATTACTGTTTCATTAAGTATCATTCTTCACTACCCATGGTTTATTGAACATATTTTCAAAATTTGTCAATATTACATATATAAAATTGATTCAATGACCATGTTAATCACATTGCTGACAAACTTCTAAAGTTATTACCACAGTCATTGAATTTATTTGTATATTTGAACTACTGACTAGAGCTTAACAACTATAATCAAGGTGTTAGTGCTATAGCCTTGTGTTTTTTATATAATGCTCATTGGTCTCAGAAGGTTCTGAGAAATGGCAAACATTTAGTTGTTTGTTTGTTTTGATGCTAAGCACAAAGCCCCACAATGGGCTATCTGTTTTATGCCCATCACAGGTATCGAAACCTGTGAATAATACATTTCACTGCCTTGTGTAAATCAGTAATGTGAATGCAAAATGACGAGTGGTTATGTAAACGGTAAATTAATTCTCTGTTATAGAAATTTATACTTACTGGTAAACCCATAGGTCCAGAACTTCCAGGATCTCCTTTTTCACCCTATAAAGTAATTGAAAGTTTTATATATAATTGTTCCCAGAAGATTACTGCAGAAAAGTGCAATAAATATGTATCACATTTGCATTTAACAGGAATTTATTCTTCTATTCTTCAGTAATCTTTAAAACTACAAAATATAGATTAAAATTTTGCTTAAGATGAAAAGCAAATCATGAAGCTGAAAATTAATTCCACTTCATAAGTTTTGAAACTAGCAAACATGAAAGTATGATATGTGCTCAACATTTGAGATTGTTTTTAATGTGACTGTGGTTAGATTTTTAAAAATGTCCACTTTTTGCATCACTGAGATAAAAATTTCAAAACTAAAAAAAATTTTCATTAAAGCATTAAAAATTAGACAGAGTTAATTATAATTGAGTCTTTCTTTTAAAGTATGCATCTGCAAGCCAATGAAGATTCTTAAGGTAACCATAAACATTCACTTCTATTTAATATCATTAGAACTATTCTTTGAAATTATATTATGGCATGATCTTATATTCAATGTTTTGATTTTTACTTCTTAATCTACTGACTTTTGTAAAAAACCTCTCGTATTGTTATCAAGACAGATAAACACATGATTAAGAAGTTGTATTGTGCTGTTAAGCATAAAGCTACACAAAGGGCTATCTATGCTTTGCCCACTACAGGTATCAGAACCCAATGCTTAACATGAGAATCACACAGTCTTATTGCTTAACCACCAGGGGGAAGTTTTATTGTGAATTCTAGCTTTCTAACATATTCTATTCTGTAAAAAAGTAACAGCATAATTGTGAAGTTTACTGTAATAATATTAATGAAACAATAGGATTTAAATCAAATAGATACAATGATAACACTTTACAATATATCTCACATATAAAGAAAAATCAGACAAAGACAGATTATTAGAACATCACTCACTCTTTCACCTTTTTGTCCATTTACTCCTTTTTCACCTTTAAATCCAGGAGGTCCTTGTAAGCCATTAGGACCCTTTAAAGAAACATTAAAATTATAATTCAAGAACAAGCTCAAACTGTTTTATATAAATGTTTTACAAAAAGCTAAGTAAATGCAATCTTTTATTGACAAATGCATGTAGGTCAGATTACCATAAAAACTACTTTGTGACAATGTGATGTTGCATTCCTGTAGTTAGTTTTATGGAGGTCTGTGTGTCTTCAGAATAAAAATAAAAATATACTGCTACAACCTTTTTATTCATTTATTTAGCTGTCCATAAATTTCTATTTAACATTTAGTAAAATATTTTACTCGATACTTATAAGTTTTTGCGTGCTTGATTACATTTACTCTTATTCCTAAGAAAATTAAATTTAGACTCATCTGACTCAGAATTTAATTGAAAACAATGGTACTGTAAGAGAATAAAGTTAATGAAAGTTCACTTTCCACAAACAAAAAGTGGAAACTTTTTATACAAAGATATCACAAGAGTCTGCCTTTTCAAGTAAACAGCTTTCAGAGGTTTTACAAACACGATAGGGTATAGTACATTTTTCTATACATTTCCTTGACTAATCCATTTGAATATAGATTAACTAAATTTTGTTTGCAATGTTCTTTTATCATTTTTAGATCAAAACCTATAGATAAAAATATGTCTTGTATTCTACTTATATATCCACATAAATTTTTGATTGTTGAGATCTACTTTCATGAAAAGTTTTTTATATTCATATGAAGATTCATTTTAACGAAAATGTTACAAAATAATTTTTTCGAATAAAGTACGTCTTTTTATCTGAGTATCTGATATGAAAAAGATAAAAAATATAATAGACCAGTTTTGTGACCCATAATAATGTAAATACATAAAATTTAAAAGTATTTGAGACTGGAAGAGCCATTATACTTGAGAACTATTTATTATCTATAATCTATAGAAATTTATCAGAGGCTGAATTTACTTATGCCAACATAAAATATATATATATTTATTAAATAACACATCTTCTTCAATTCTAATTTAAACATTTACCAAAACTGAAATAAAAAATCAATTATGTGATACTCACAGGTGGTCCAGGTAGTCCTGGAGGTCCAATTATCTAAAAAATTAAATATAAAGTTTTATTTATTACATTGTCTTTTAAACACTTCAGAAAAGTGATTAAAACCTGTTCCAATACATTATATTTCGAGTTATTTCTTAATTAAAATAATTAAAAAAAGCCAAAAAAAAGTATGATATTTAACTAGAGCAAAGCTACGTTTTGAAACATTTTCTCTATTATTTTAGGCAGTTTTTAAAATTGTATGCACATTAAAGAAGAACAAGAAAATAATTCATAAGTTTGTTTGTTTTTGAATTTCCTGCAAAGCTACATGAGGGCTATCTGCACTAGCCTTCCCTAATTTAGCAGTGTAAGACTAGAGAGAAGGCAGCTAGTCATCACCACCAACCGCTAACTTTTGGGCTACTCTTTTACTAACGAATAGTGGGATTAGCATTTCAGATGTTCATTTATGACATTCAAGAAAAATATATGTGATCATAATAAAGCAAATAGGAACTTCATTTTCTGAGAGAAGTTGTTTAACTTACTATAGAAGTGAGATCCATAAAAGCTATTATTAGATAGCTTAGCTAATAGCTTAAAATGTTGTAATCATGGTGCCAGATACTGACTTATAAGAATTCATAACTAATCTAGAAAAAAATGTTTCAGCAGAGAAACGAATAGAGACGTAACAGTATTCTAACATCCTGTACAAAAATTGGAAAGTGCTAATTGCCTCAAAGAACAGTTGCAATTAGTGCTACTTCGACTGTTATAATCATATCTTTTTCCATATTCCTCTAATAGTTGAGCACCTTGATGTTGATGCTAGAAAATGTACTGTAAGACAACTTAGTATGATGTTGCTAATCTGCAAAAAAGTGTTGATGAGCCTGTGGTTTCATTGCAAAAGGAACCCAAATAGAAACAAAAGACAATTGTTGACATTGTCTACAAGTTTACCTGTGAGGAGCTGAAGTTAGCAAATGTTGAAAGAAAGAAAAAAAATTAGAATACTTTTTCAGGCCGACAAGCCTGAATTCCAGCATGACAGTATGGTGTGATTAAAGAATGTAGAGAGGAAGGAAGATACAAGATAGAAAAATCGAAACACCATTAAACATGAATTTCATAGTGATAAATATATGGTCCATCAAATATGTTTTCTGTGTTTAATTGTGGCTGTACAACATAGTTACACCACATTCTATTAAAGAACACTACTTGGAAACCAGTAAAACCTCTGATCCATTACATTGAGAATGAAACAATGCTAAGACATCAATTGCTAAACCTAGATCCAGCTGTGAAGCTGTAGAGAATCATCAACTTAAAAACCTCAAAAAGTATAAATTCATTTGGGTGAATAATAATAATATAACATAAAACATAATATTTTGGGACCTATTGGTCTATCTCGGCTGTTTCATCCTCAAAACCAAATTAAATTGATTAAAAAAATAAAATACAAAAATTTTAAACCCTGCCCTTTTCATTCATATACTTTTCAAGCTTTTCTTTAACTCACTTAAATTTACTGCCTCTACAACATCTGAAGGCAACCCATACCAAAGAACAACCACCCTGTTAGAAAACTAAAACTGTCATTGCTGAAAATGACTCATACCGTGCCAAAATTTATATTTATGTCCCCTAGTACTACTATTCTTATTGTTAGATATAAAAAAATATGATACATCAACACTATTAATTCCCTTTACAATCTTAAACA